TTGCGTAACAGGCCTTATCGAGTCGACCCGGACTTAGCTCTTTAAATGAACTCGAACTCGAGCATTAACAAACCGAGTCGAGCTAAGCTCACGAGCGACTCGTTTAATTTAACAACTCTAATCACGATAGTTAAATTTTGTGCAGATTATATAACGATTCATATATAAGTAAAAAAAATTATGATTATATGATTTACTTTTGCTAATGATCAAACATATAACATGGGATATGTTCATTATCTACCTTAAAATTTAAAATATAACATCTATTGGTACATATGTGATTTATAATAGTTTATTTGTATATTTGCATTTCCACAAGACGGAGTACTAATTTTCATTAATGCTATGACATATTTTTATGTTGAGTACTTGTAATTTGCTTTTTGTTCCATTATTTGTGTTCCTTTTTTTTTATTTATTGTTATGTTATTATTGGTGGTTATTTTAGGAAAAAAATGATTGGAGGATAAAAAGTACTACCAAATATGAAATGCCGTATAGTTACAGGTAACCGGTCAAACTTTTCAAAATTTATATGAAGTTTAAGCATTTAATTTTATTTAAAAATATAAAAAGAATGTTTATTGTTAATTTAATGTATTAACTAATTATGGCTAACTAGATAGACCACTACCTATAATTTAATTAATTATCTAATCAAATCTAATGTTTTGACCGGTCACCTAGAGTAATAATTACCAGTCATTGACCCAAAGGCGGTAGTTGCCTTTTTGTAATAATAAGTACAGTATATAGCTGTACAAAAAATTGCAAGTGCAATCATAGTGCTGCTACTCTAAATGAAACTGTGTAAAGTAGCCATTGCCTTCAGAATTTAAACGAAAATCGACAGAGAAAAGGGATCTATTCGGATATTTTGGCCTAAGCTAGTTCTAGAATAGCCATTAATGTTGAACAAGAATATTATGATGATGATTAAAAAGAGATTCTAGACATGGCCAAGGCCCGGCCCGTCGACCCGGCCGACCTGCAACCGGCTCTTAGGTTGCCTGTTTCGAGAACCGACACTATAGCTTTACGGACTGTGTCTGGGTCCTTTTTTTTTTTGGTCCCGACGGTTTGGGCCCCGCCGATACAGGGCCGGTTCGTCGGGCCAGACCCTTGGTATTTGGCGGGTCAATTAAGGGTCACCCATGGGAGGCCCGGGGGCGAGCCGGGTCATTACCCGGCCCGTTTATTGGTCATGTCTAAGAGATTCGAATGTCTTGTTCACTATTGCAAATCAAAACTACGAATGAAGTAGTAACATATTTTGCTACAATTAACAATAAATCAATTTGACATAAGGTGGGGTATAAGCATCTATATATATATATATATATATATATATATATATATATATATATATATATATGTATTTAATTACTAACTGATAGCATTTAATAAAACTTATTTAATTTTACCTATATGACAATTTAACAATTTTCCTCTAAAAATGTTACTTTTGATGTATTTAATTTCTCATTTAATTATTAAGTAATCAACACTAATCACTTTAAAATTACAAAATTATTTTAAACTTTTGATTACTGACAGTTAACTATATAATGTATTGACCGTATAATGTGATTAGATGTTATTATTGTGGTTACAATTAAATTTAATTTTTTTTTAAAAAATAAAAATCGTATTTGAAATTTCTAAATAAATAATAAATAATTCATACAAAAAGACGTACCAAAATATACATTACATCCAACAGATAAACGCAATTTTAAAAAATAAATATTCTAACTCCTTTAATTGTAAATTTGGCCTGCAAAAGAGTGAAAGAAAAATTTAATCATTATATGCATTCAAATAACTCACAATATTTTATTTACATCTATACAAATACACAGGTCGAATAAATTCTAAGCTTCATGGATATTTGTTTCGTATGTTGTTTTCATCTCATTTAATTTGTCATCAAGACTTCATTTATAGTATTATTTTTCTTTTTTATTTGGTGATAATTTTAAATTTCACAAAGTTTGTGAATTTTTGGCGTTCGTTCAAGCTTCAATAGTTACTAGTACGTACAACACTCGTGTATTACACGGGTGCTTGATAAAAAAATATTCTTAAATTTTAAAATTAATGAAAAAACTATATTCAATTTAGTTTACTTTATATAAAAAAAAAATATATTACTATATATTTTATAATAACATGTGTTACTTATGACTTACATGTATTATATTATATTAGTTTTTATAATTTATAGCATATAACTACTGGAAATACAAATATATTAGTTGATAAATAATTTTATTTTTTTAATTAATATTAAAAATAATTTTATCATTATTATAAAGATAAATATAAATTATTCTTCTATACATACAATATGGATGTTAAATCGAAACTCATCAATAGAAGATTAATTTGATATATTACATATGTAAAAATTATAAAAAATACAAAAATTATTAAATTTTAAAATATATATACAATTCAATAGTTATAATAAGGAATGATATTAAAAGACAATTAATAATGTTACATGACCATAAATAATCAACATATTTATGGTAATTCGAATCGAATTATTTTTGGTTTGAAACTAAATTAAAATTTACCTAAACCTAATAACAAAACATGTAAGTTTATCACATAGGATTTCGAAGCACCAGAAGCAGCCAGCTAAGCTCATCGCGTTCTGAATTAATATATAAAATGATTTTCATTAGTCAACTTTCCAATCTAGTAACTTAGTACCAAATTTAGGGTGGACAACAACTAATAAGACAAGATCACATAACTCAACTCAACAAGATAGTGGTATTTATGCTTGATTGATTATTATCCATGTCATATTTTGCCTGAAATTCACCAACCTTTTTTTTTTCTTTTTTTTGCCAAATTAGTTCCCTAATTATCGCAATGTCACTTGAATCAACAAATTTTCAAGATGTTAACTCGCATGTAATAGGTTTCTAGTGCACAACAGCTTCAACTAGGCCACGTAGAGAAGTGGTTGCTAGCTTTTTCTTAAGCATGTTGTTTCGGCAGCAAAATAGCAACACTTTGGGTTCACTGCTTGGTCTTTGCCGGGAGTTGCTCTTTATGCTTTCCTTTATACTCGAAACCTCGACGAATGAACGAATGACAAAGATCCTCGTCAGCTATGTTGGACTGCTATGATGAACTCGACGGTTGCGGCGGACTTGGGTTGCTTGCTGTGGATGGGGTCGTCGGAAAATGGCAGATGGCGGTGAATGTCGCACTCGAAAAAACAGACGGCGGCTACGGTGGCCATGGTGTAATAATATTTCATATTATTCTATTATTGTGGACCATATAATTAGTTAGACCTAATTGAATTAATAGTCAAACTTTACTAAAGATGAATATGTATTTAATAGATTATTTAATGTTCTATATTAAAGAGTCCAATGTGTGATGTTTGACTTGGACAGCAAGTTAGGTTAGAACATGGGGAATGGTAGTATGATTAGGATTCTAAGTCTCCTCCTCCTATATATATTACATACCCCTCTCTCCCATCTCATACGAAATAAAGTTCTCAACATCAAGGGCTTTATGAAAGGATTGTTGGAGTTTACGAGACGAATCCATCATTGAAGTATACAAGAAAGATGATCGTAGATCAACATCATAGATGAACAGGGAAGGACTATAGTTGGATTCTTGTAAGTTTCTGTGTGCAATTTAATTAATGCAAAGATCCATATCATATTCTATGAATTGATAGAATTACATATTTAGGATTTATTCAATTCCGCCTAATAGTTATGAATATACCCGTTAAATTTCTTACACATGGTTCTCGGGGAGAATGCTGGCGAAAGTCAGAGGCTCGGGTACTGCTCACGTGCGAGGGATGGAGGTTGACGACGACTGCTTGGAGGTGGCTCGCCGGAATCAATGGCGTGAAGATAAACAACGACCGAGTCTTATGTAGACATGGTTCAGATATAAGCTCTTTCACGCGATGGATGATGAAGAAAACATCCTCGACCGAGTCTTATGTAGACATGCGAGGGAGTGTCGATCGCGAGAGATTTTAGGGGAGATTCGGTGAAGAACAACTCAACGGATTTGAATGTGCAGAATAATAATAGTGGGCTAAGAATTGTACAAGGGCATTGGGCCAAAAGTGAAATAACATACCAGGTATTGGGCCACGACTAATTGATCAAATTGGGTTGGTTTTTTTTTTTAAATAACTCAAAGGGGTCTGGAAAATTATATTCGAGTGTGCCGAAAAGTGGGTCTAAACGGATCCAAGAAATTCAACGCGATTGGACCGAAAATTGTCGAACGAAATAAATTAAATTCTAACTCAAATAATCCTTATAATTCACACACATAAATAAATAAAATAATCACATAATAATTCAATAAATTATATCACATAACAATCCAAATTATATCAAATAACAATTTAATATATAAGCAGATAATTGAAAACAACAAAGATCAAAGCTACAAAAAATAGTCCACTTGGCCATGTCTACACACAGAAAAGAAATTTATACACTTTAAAGAGGATCCCTATATATAACATACACTACACGGCTGCTAAAATAGAAGCAAGAAATTCCATCAAATGGTCAATTGATTCGTACAACTAATAAATTCATACATGTTTCGACAACGACAATATTTCATATTATATTACTTATTATTTATATTTCGTATGAAATACATACGTACATGAGTATAATAAATCTTATCCCACACCCATTATTATCAAATCAAAAAAAGAAGATAAATCGAACGGCTGAGGCAGACGCCAAGACCCGGTCTCGACTCAGTGTCGCGGTTCGTGCCGTCCAGCCGACGATTACGGGAGACCCTATGGGCCCCACACCACCTTTCAAACACAAAAACACACCACATAACATAGCACACCCCACCCACATCCCCC